CGATTAATTTCTTTCTATTTTTAGTAGAGACGGGGTCTTGCTCTTGCTCAGGCTGGTTTCGAACTCCTGAGCTCAAATAATCCGCCCGCCTTGGCCTCCCAGAGAGCTGGGATTACAGGCGTGAGCCACTGTGCCCGGCCTAGATTTTTTTTATAGGAATACAAACATACCTTTATCTTCATATAAATCCTTTACTAGAATCTAGTCATTGAACCAGTAAATACCAAAAATTGGAAAATTACTGAGGTGTAAGGTGTGTGTGTGTGTGTGTGTGTGTGTGTGTGTTTACTGGACTCCTATTTGTTTTCTTAAGATGTCCAGCCTGATATAAGAATATATTAACAGGATTAGGTTTTAATCTCCAGATGATTTCAGGAAATGAAACTTTTATATTAATCAGACGCTATATTCTCTCCCTCTGTGAAGAACAACTTGGAAATGAGTATCTCCTTAAGTAGTGCTTATTTTTCTAATCCGTAAGCACCTTTTATGCCTTTAAGGATTATATTCAACTGCTACATCCCTGGTGTCAAGTCAACGTTGGTTCCTGTCGATTTATGCTGGGACGATGCTACCTAGTTACAGGAGAGGGACAGAAGGTAAACTGCATTTGAGTGATGAATACACTTTAGGAGATCTCTTAGTTTCCATCTAAGTCAGTTATAGAGGCTAGGAGGCATACAGTCCTCTAGATTAGCCCAAAAAAGGCTGTACTAATGCCAACAAAGGGCATGATACACATGCGAGGACTCTGCAGCAACTTGTACTTTGTGGTTTTAGTTAGGACATAGGAAATAAGAAAATATTAAAACCCTTCTACCCCTGTGCAGGTGTTTTTAGGGATGAATTTTTATAAGTCAAATTTATTAATTACATTGTATAATTATAATCATTGTATCTGTTTTGTGTTTTTTGCTGCCTTTTCTCATTATGGCTGTTTACTCTCTAAATTTTTAAATTTTCAAATATACAGAAAAGTTTACATGTTCCTACAGTGAATATATACCCACCACTCAAATTCTACAGCTGTTAACATGTTGCTATAATTGGTTTATTATGTATCTGTCATCTTATTACAGTTTAC